CTTTGTTTTATTTATTTTAAAGAATAAAGCTATTCAGTCCACCCGGACCCTTCTGTTCCCACTAAAGACAGTTAACTCAATAATGTGGTGAAGTTTTCCCTGACAGTCAATGAAGCCTAACTAACTAGATGCTTCAATTTAGTTATTTATTATAACTGAATATCTACAGCGATGTTTCTACTTTGTGTCTTCACAGCACATCACAATTCTTAAATAAATAAAAAAGTTTTAAAAACTATGATACACACAGCAGTTGCGGCTCTTTTGAGTTTGATCATTCTCACATACAGTAGATAAAATCTATCTTTAATCAGAAAATTCTCTTTAGTCTACCTGTCTGGGTGGCTGTCTAGACATGTCTTTCGTATATCCTTAAACCTCAGTATGGGTAAAAATGTTTAAACTGCTTTACATGTGGTATGTATAAACAGTTTAAACATCAGAAACCTAAGCCCATTACAGCACATTTTTGTCACAAATGTGACTCAGTGAAAACTTTAACCAGAAAAGACATACTTAAACACTATGGCTATACTATTTCTGTTATGTTTTTTTATGACATAATTAAGTAGGGTTACAATATATACCATCAATGTCAAGTATGGAAAAATTGAGTTTATATTATACATAGTTTAACATGTATATCAGTTTTCAAAATATCTTTTGAATCCCCTGCTGTCGACAAAGACTGGCAAGTTAAAAAGAGAAAAAGGCAATCTCACAGTCTCAGAATCCTTTAAATGTGTTTCTGTTCAAATACTAATTTTCATCCTTTTGAATCTAACCTTTCTTGTCTTTCATACTCTTTTTTAGAGCAGAAGCATTTACATGCTGAATCACTGATTCCATGTCAACAAAATAAACAAAATGAAAAGGGCGTAAAGTTTAACTTATAAGTTGAATAAAAATAGGAAGGGAAATATGAGTTATTACTTGAAAGGTCTTATGTTGTAGTGTGACCATTGTTCATTTGCAAGAGCATTAACCTTTTAAATAAGGTGACACAGCTCTGACTGGTAGCAATACCGTTAGGAATATTCTAATCACATGACAAATAATGTGCTGATGAAATGACAATTTAAAGGGCTGGCCACTGGGGGTATTTTATACATTTACAAATATTTTTTTTTCTATTACACCCACCTACAGTAAGTTGGATATACCAATTGTTTTAAGACTCAGGTCTTTAGCTATGACTTTGAATTCCACTAAGGTGAGATGTGTGAATGAGATGATCACCTGCAAAGGCATTATCTGAGACACTACAAGCTCCACAGTGCCTGACAAGAAAGTTTATTAAAGGAACAGAATGTCTCTCATTGATGCCACTGAAAGCCTGCAAACACAAATAAATATGGGTTTCTGTTTGCTGAAAATATGAGAAAGCTGTGGTTGCCTAGTCTGAAACATATTTTGAAGGCAATTTCCTAAAATCTGACCTTTGCTCCAAGCAAGTACTATCACTAGCTGAGCTCCTTGGGAGCTACAGTATGAAGTGCTGTTTCTACGCACTTTTATTAGAAATGTGCTCCCAATTCTCAATAACAGCATTTGAATTAATGTCTATTGCACTCAACAGCAGCATGTACATGTACTTAGAAATTCAAGCAATTTCACATCAGATTGTAACCTTCTGTGTCGCAATTCAGGACATTGTAATACTCCATTCCACAAATGATAATTAGCTGGCTTCCAACTGGCTAAAAGATGTGGCATCTGCCCTTAAACATGCTTGCTGACCTTCATTAAACTTTTCTTTAAATTCCTGGAATGTTTGGTAACTGTTTAACAAAAAAATGTTAAATGTACCACTCTGTATGAAAATAATTGTTTTTAGGTCAAACACACAGCTTTTGAAACACCACTCAAAATATAAGCTTCATTACGTGTTCAGAGCTTAGCTATTAAGAGTTCCACCGAAAACAACAGGATTAATTTGCAATGAACTGAAAGCAGCATACTAACTGGAGACGATCCAGTGGTTAGTACGCAGCTCTAGTTCTCTGTGCAAGGTTAATACCAATTGCAGCAAACTTGGCCACTAAATTTAGTTCTCGAATGTCATCCTAAAAATGTTCTCAAGTGCAACAAGCCCAAAGTAAATGGTGCTGTCCCCTAGAGATTACTAAAGAATGCCACTAAGACAGTACAACTCTTGCTATTGAATAAAAAATTTCGTATCATACTAAGAGGAACATTAGATTGTGTTCCAAATGTAGTAGTAGCGTTTTATTGAACTTATATAGTTAATACCTAATGTTTTTATGCATCTGACACAGAGAGAGATATTTTATTTTAATAATCAACTAAAATTACATTCCAACCACAATACAATACACTAACATCAAATGTTCTAATCTTGAAGGAATGGGTCATCACTATTACACCTACAGTACTAATAAACACAGAGCCTGTAATTTGCGATACAGCTCTGAGATATACAGTAGTGTTGAGATAAATAATCTTTGGAGGGAAGAGAAAAGAAATTTAGAAAAAACATAAGGAAGTGGTACATGACTCTTAATAAGTGTGTTCAGTCACAACTGGCTGTCACTTGAGTTATTTGTTCTGATATTTATTGTGAGGGGTTTCCACACTGGTGGATCTTAGAGGGCAGTGGGATGTGGAGGAACAGGGGTACAGTGGGTATAATGTGTTATTTTATGTAGTTAAAAAGAAAAGTCCCATGGATGAGGGTCTAAAACTGACCCAACTACTGACCTAGGTCAAAATCCACAGATATTAATTAAAAAATACTCATGAATGTAGTGAAACAAATGTAGCACATTAAAGTGCATGAGGTTTACTACTATGATGATATAGTGCTAGGATGAAATCTATAAATCTATACGAGCAATAGAGATATTCATAGATTAAATGCTATTATACAAATATGGAAAATAATCAAGTGTTACGAGAATAGATTGAGGTAATTTTTCAGGGGACACTTACAACAGCTGACTTGCTGTCAGAGGCCATTAGAGGGGCCTTAAAGCTATGATTTGTAAACAGGTGATAGTTAATAAGCTAATTGGTGGTGGCTAATTCAACATTGTCACATGGGGGTCAATTAGTGGAATGTTTAGTGTTTAAAGTGCCACACGGAATCAGTTGGTGGTTATGTGTGTGATAGGAGTCTGGGGAGTTTCATGAAGAGTTGGTTTGTTGTAAAGACATGAAAGATATCTTAAATAAACCCTCATGTTCAGTATAATATTATAGTAGTGATTTCTTGCTTATTTAGATTCCTGGAACATGGGTGGAGTCTGTCACAGTGATAAAGATTATACAGCACATTTAAAAGACAATTATTTGGTCATTTGTTTATTATGAGTCGTCCATGTGATACAACTAAGGAAAGGACTAGAATCATGCAGACAAATCTAAAGCTGAGTGCTGCACAGATAAAATCAGATTTACAGTAGCTACAATGTGCTGATCAAGGGTCAACATTGACAGTTCCTGAAAAAAGTACTTGAAACCTCTGTAAATTAGTCTGTGCTCCTGAAATAGTTAAACTACTTATTTGGGTTCTTTTTTGTCAGAGTGTACTTGTTCTTTCAGAAGTGTAAGAATTGGAACTGGTTTGTCATTTGAAGGTGGCTGTATCTCCTACATAATTCTAGTATCAGTGAATCAAAGAACTTTGTCAAATTACTATAAAAAATGACACTTATGTTTGCTGCCTGTCTCTGTGTGTGGTCTTTTTTCTTTTCTAAGGAAAGAAAAGTCCAACTTTGCTGTATTATAGTTGTTCCAAAATGCTCAGTCTGCCTGGCTAACCTTTAGCAGAATCTCTTTAATCCTTTTTCTTTCAGGTTAAAATAATTAATCACGGAATTTCTTTTATCCAGGGTCAGCAGGTTAAAATACATTTTGTAGTGTTTATGTCATCTTGTCAATAGAACTTCATAGTTTTCATGAATGCCAGTATTTTCCCTGTTATTCCAGGAGTATTTTAACAGGAGTACTAGGAAAAAATCTAATTCATATAATTTAACACATCTACTAACATTAGACCTTACACTTAGTTCAGCAACATGATTCAAAACAAATGGCTACCTAAATACTCCAACGGGAGAATACTAAAAATATAAAATTCAAACTATCTTCATGTATAAAAGGTGTTTACTGATTTTGCGGTCTTTCAGTTCTTTCATATTTGTGGGTAATTAAATTTTAATCACACATAGAATACTTGCTAGGTCAACTAGCCCATGCATAGCAATATGTTAAGCAGTGACTGAGATACTTTGTCATACTTCATGAATTTAATCAAACAGCAACATAAAAACAACAAATATCCAAAATTAAAATTAAATTAAAAATAAAAACTACACTGAAGTGATCAAAGATAATGGATTGGAATACATTTATTTTTTATTGCTTTATGACTTGTAAGCAGCCAAGCTACCCATAATTTAGTTAGAGATTAATGAAGTCCTGATTTGTGTTTTCTGATTCTGCATTACGCCCTATAAATATATTTTGTGCTGCCTCCATGTGTCTTTTGCGACACCACAATGTTTTTTAAAGTGACAACAACACTGTGCCATCTCATATGCTTTTACAATACATAAAAAATTGGACTGAGATAGAAAGTCTAGCAATTAAAAATGATATTTAAGAAACACTGATTTCTGAAACTGGCATATTGTTAATAAAACTCTAAATAAATATATTCTAAATGAAACTAGAAAATAAAAATGGTTTCACATAAAAAAAATAATAATGAAGTGTATTTTCAATATCCTGCAGAGTTTTTAAGATTCTTGCCCGAAAAGTTACAGTACAACCTCAAGCAAAGTGGCTCAGGGCCTAGATAAGCATTACAGGAACCAGAAAAGACTTATGCGACTGGATGAATTTCTCTTAGGCAGTAACAAACGGAATAATAAATTGTGGAATTACTATTCTGAACATCAATTTAGTGTGTAATGAGTGTTTAGAGATATCATTTTCCTTTTAATTTACTGATAAGACTGAGAAAAGGTGCTTACCCTGGGAAGAAGGGAGTACCGAATGCAGAATCCTGGCTCTGAAGGAAAGTATTCATCAGATTTAAAGCGTATCCTAATCTGGTTCCCTTTGGATACCTGCTTTCCTGGGGCAGATTGGGATCCACACCACCGACCCAGAATATTGCCTTCTGAAGGCTCTTCAATTTCTACAAAGTCATACCTAAAATGGACAAAGAAAGAGGTTTGTTTTTGAAAAATATTTTTGATTCTTCTGATTACTTTATTATACATGTGTTGAATAAAACATGACTAACATCATGATATTATTTGTGATTTAAGTAAGATGCTAACTGATTAAACTTGCAACATTCTCCTTAACTACTATACATACATTTTTTTATTATTTTACACACGTAATTGTACATCTATTGCTTTAAAAGTGATCATAGTTCAAACAAAAAAAGAGGACTCTATTCAGTTTTAAAATCAATCCCTTAGATGTATCTTTCATTCCACGCTAGATATTTACTTAATTGTTAAATGGGACAAAATTAATCACCAGGAAATCAAAACGTTACACCGCATAGTGAATAAAGGCCCATATTTTAAATCAACTTTAAAAACCTTGAAAAATCGTACGTTTTGTCCAAATGCTCAAACATTTACATTAAAAGAGACTATAAGCAATAACATAAAGCTAATTCTGCGATTTTTCATTTCAGTAGATCTGCAAAATTCTAATAATAATGAAGTTAGCCAATGAATGACAACATTGGTCGAAGATTAGCACTATTACAATGCCCCTCACTTACGAGGAATGAACCAGGGGGCTGCTGAAGTTGAGGGAGGGGTAAACAAAGATGCATGCAGACTTCTGGGCAGCCAGTGAGTATTGTACTGTAAGTATATAGTGAGTATGCACTGTAGCTAAGTGGAAATGTGGCATGATTTCACCTCCAATTATGTTAACTCCATATTTTTCACATCTGACTTAATTTATAAGATGATCATATACAGTATGACACATATAGATATTTTGAACAAATTAACTAAAGGTTGGAATAACATACATAGTATTTGTACAGTATTTGGTTTTTTAGATATTTATTCTCTATTCTGCTACAGCTGTCTTCACCAGTATTGCCACCGTGTTATTTTTTACAACAGGTAAGGTCAACAACATCTTCTGGAGACCTTTCTTTCCCAGAGAAAGGTACAAAAGATGCATCTATCTAAGCATTTGAGGCACCGTCCTCTGCTCTGGAATCTGGAGCCCCTAACCACTACTCCACACTGCTGTCTGTTGATGTTTACAGAGCATCTGAAAGTAAAACCTCAAAAAGCAGCCATAACAATATACTGTACATGTACAATTGGAAGCAATTCTCATGTCATCTGTTCCTATTTGAATCAAAAGTTGATTTCAGTGGAAATCTGGGCATGCTTCTGCTCACAATAACTTGTATTTAATTTAGCAGAAATGTAATTACACACATAAACTTAACAGTGCTGCAAGAGAAGACAATAACACAAACCTCTGTGTGTATACTGTAGTATCTACAAAACCATCCTGTAATCCATCCAAGTACCCTCTGGGCAATGTGACATTGTTAAATGGCTTATAGCTATTGTTTCCATGGCCTTATTTTCCTCCAGGGAACTTCTGGGTTTATTTCCAGGTTTTATTAAATATGAAAGAAAAGCTCAGCATAATAAATGAAACCTACAGTATAACCTCAGAAGGGAATTTAATATTAAGTACTACTGTCCCTGTTTATTGATAAAGACGGTGTCTTCTACTAATAAGCTTAGTACTACTATTATGGTTTATTATCAACAGTAATTAATAGTACTATGATCATTTATTATTATTATTATTATTATTATTATTGTTGTTGAACAAGTAAAGGTTTATTCCATGCTAAAAAGAGAAGAAAGGAAACACAACATTTCGGCTGGAGAGCCTTCTTTGGGTAAAGCCTTCAAGAAGAATAAGCATGGTGACGTATCTACCTACTTGAACTACTACTACTTCATAATAATAATAATAATAATAATAATAATAATAATAATAATAATAATAATAATAATGCTATTATTATTATTATTGGAGGGCACTAAGTTTATTCCTTGTAGTTGGGTCATGGCTATTGTGCATTTCATCCCATCATGGAGTCTTCATGACTTAATTTGAATTTCACAAATTTTTATTTAATTGGTCTGTATCGTCATTTTTTCCAAATTGCCAATAAAACCTGGCCTGTGGGCTGTGGCCCTCCGGGACCAGGACTCACTGTCTTAGATCATGGAATGTTCCTAATTCCTGTGATTAAAATTGTACATTGACAAACACAGGGGAGTTTTAAATCAGTCATTAAACATGTGAGGTCTTGCACGTGCAGAGAAGTCCATACATTTCCTGGAAGGAGCAATAAATGAAAATTGAAGTACATTAGCCTATTGATTGAATGTATAAAAAATTCCAGCATTTTCACCAAAGTTTAAAACTATTTTAAAAGTGTTTTTATTTTCTAGCTATTTTCTTGTTACATTATTCATGTACTGTATACTTACAAAAATATTATAACATCAGGATGATGACTACTCCTTTAAGAAACAGCTGGATAAAACTTCAGTTTCATCTACTAATAAACTACCCTTTGGGTCAGAGGACCCTCCCTCATTTGCAGACATTTATTTTGTTAACTTTTTTTGTGTTTTCATTGACAAAAATCAATTCTACTTTTAACATGAACAAAAATAATCACATTTCTGTGTAATTTCTAGTCCTAAACTACTGTACCATACTGTACTATATATACTGCTGTGTCCAAACATTGACGATTTGAATTTGCACCAAAAATGCATAAGTTCAGTAGCATTAACATTAAATTCATCAACAACTGGTAAAAAAAGCCATTAATATTGAATATTTGTGGACCATAAGAGTGTGTACTTTTAGTGCCATTTAAATGTGTGTATTAATGGTTGTGTGCAATATTAAGACAAATTCCTAGTGCATTCTTTGTCACTTGGCAAATAAATTTGTATATGTATTAACTAACATAATTAATTTTAGCTTCATTATACATTTTTCTCTTTGAATACTTCTTAATGTGCTCTTTAATATTACTAATAGTACCTTTAACCAATGAGCTGAAGGTACTATTACCTTAATTAATTTGTGCATTTTGTTACATACACAACCTACTCCACATATTCAAAACCAAAAATAAAGAAGTCAAATTATTATTTTTAAAGAAAATTAAAGTGAAAGTCAAGATGGTATACAGTACATATTCAAACTCTTTGCTGTAGAAAACCTAAATTAATTTAGTTGCAGAAAATGGTCCTAATGAGCCGCTATTAAGTGAGCTGCCTATGGATTTAAGCGTCTTTTCTCTGTGTGCATTTACAGTGGTTTTTATGACAGAAAGAAATCCCTGTGGGACCTTGGTCAGGTAGTGAGTTTAAGGAGCATTCAAGGCAAGTCAGTGGTAAAATAATTGAAAAGAACAGATCATGAGAAGGGTACAAAATATCAAAGTCTATGAATATTCTTGTGAGCACTGTCTGCACAATCATCAAGGAATGAAAGGTGCCTCATACCACCAAGACATTGGCTAGGTAAGGCTGTCTCCCCAAACTGAGTAGCCAGATAAGTGGGAAACCAGTTTGATCGTGAACCCATAGACACTTTTGAAAAAGCTATGGAGTTCAATGGCTTTGTGGTCACTCCACAAAGCTGGTCTGCTATCTCAAATCCCACCTGTCAAAACCTGAACTTTTTGGTTTACAGTAATCGCAAACATATAATGTCATAAAACAACACTGAGTATAACTACAGATGCTTCTCAACAGCAGGGACTGTAAAGCTTGGTTAGACTTAATGAAAAAATGGATGGAGCAAAATACAGACAAACTGAATGAAATAAAACTGAATGAGATGCAAATTCACTTTTCTGTAGTATAATAATTCAAGCATAAGAACAAAGCTACACTGGAGAGACTTATTAGCGTAAGAAAGTGCATATCCTAGAGTGGCCTAGCCAAAGTCCTGACTTGAATTCTATTAAGAACCTGTGAAAAGACATGAAACCTGCTCTTTTTAAGACATCCGCACACAACAGGATGGCAAAATCCAAGCTAATGTGCAGTATTGGTAGAGACCTACCCTAATAGACCTGTGGTTTTAATTGCTATCAAACATGTTTCTACCAAGGTTTATGCAATCAACACATTTAAGTTGTTTTTGTAGCTTTTTATGTTTTTGCTAACATTTACTGTGACATATATTAGACTTAGAAGTCTTCACTTTGAGCATTAGGTTTTGAAAAATAAAGTGAAGTCTAAAAAATGCATATGCACCACTTTGCAATTTCACAAAGTGGGACACAGTAGGGAGTGTCTAATATCTTAAGGTGTTGAGTCTCCTGAAACCTGTAGTAGTTGATATAACTGAGATATTTTGATTTAAAATTTCACATTTCATGCAATTATTTGATATTATGATTTAATTATTATAGTTAATGTATACAACAAAGGTGGAGATAGCAGGTAAACTGCAACAGAAAAACCTAATACATCTGTTAGGCATTTTAGAGTTTAGATAAAATGTAACTTTGCAAGAAATGTGTTTTCTTAATCCATTATATGAGTAGGGCTGTCACATGTATTATAAATGGATCCAATATTTTTGACGTAAGTGACATTGTACACAAATGGGTATTTGCTCAAGGAACAGTTGTATTTCAAGCTGCCTTATCCAGGCAGGGTGGTTTTTCTTCTAAAATTTTCTTGTTTACTTACAGCAGATGGCAGCATTATATATGTGTACACAAACTGATGTCTCATCACAACAACTTTTAGACAAAGTATAGCACAATGTTGTTTATTTTTGAGACACACAACAAATAAGAACACAATTTATTTTTAATAAAACTCTCACATAATTTCATTTTTTGGTCAATCAATTATAGTTCATTACTCTTTTTCATTGGCAGGTAATATTAATTTATACACAATTCAAAAGGTTTTGCAATTTAGGTAGTGAGACAAGAAAGTTTTATGTTGTAAATGGTTAATTCCCAGTCTGGCTATGACAGGGTGGAGTTCAGTGTGGAAAAAAATGCTGGCAGTGATTTCTGTGAGACTGTGATTTTTTTTTTCTGCGAGGCACTGTGACTGCTGATGTAAAACATCTATAAGGTAAAGATTTGAGCTGCCTTGTTGCCTTGTTTTTTGAGGTTTAGTTCAATATTTATGGTTAGGTCTGTTCATTGTGTTAAGTTAAGAGAGATTGTGGCACAGCTGTGTCTTGCTCCACACATCTTGAATATCTTGTTGAATAACTGTTCTGGTTTTTGGACCCTAACAAAATACGTAAGAGTCATTGTAAGCAAACTTTTCTAACATAAGGGAAATTGCAACAGGAAAACGTGATTAATGTTTTCTGAAGAAATGCTTACTGAATTAGCAGATCACAGAAAAAGTATATGCACAAACACTTTAAAAACCATTGTCAACTATCTGAACACAAATGGGAGAAAACTATTAATGACGTGCTTAAATTTGTCTGAATAATCTGTTTCATGCTCTCACTGCAGAGAAGTTAATCCTGCATTCAAGACTTGGTCACCTCAGGGTATAGTCTACAATCTAGTTCTAATTAAGCCACATTAGTTAGTATGGTTTGTCAGAAGTGTGGAGATGATACCAATCTATATTTTGTCTTTGTTATAATCCACAACCCCATATTTGGGACACAGAAAATGCAATTACTCACATTCTGTTTATGTATAAACCACCTGTGTTTGTACTGCTGCTCCCTTCATATTAACTGATACCTTGTGTTTTTAAGCAAGAATGTCATAATTAGGAAATCTACACTGGTGATCCCATAACGTAACAAAGGTTTTAAACAAGAGGCGGCCATTCAGCCATTTGGTTTTCTTTCATCACAGCTTGCTTACTTTCTAGTAGCTAATTGAGCCAAGGATCTTATCCATGCATTTCTTGAAAGAAGCCGGGGTATATGCATTGCCAACATGGCTGGGTAGCTTGTTCCAGATTCAAACAACCCTTTTGGAAAAAAAAGTGCCTCCTGTTCTCAATTTTAAATCCACTTCCTTGTCATTTCCACTTGTGTCGTTTAATTTATGTTTCATTTGCTCTTTCTGAAGATATCTGTTGGTTAGACTCAGTTCACGTCTGAAGACTTTGAATATTTGAATCAAATTCAGTAAGATCCCCTTGGACTCTTTCCTGCTAAAGAAATAAAAGATTCGGTTCTTTTAGTGTGTTAACATAAGATACTTCATTAAGTTCTGGAATTAATGTGCTAGGTTTTGACCTGACTCATTTCAGATGATGTCCTACAGTACTATCCAGTGTAAAAGAACTATTTTGTTTGTAAATATACACATTAACAGGAAAAGGGAAAGAGGATTGCAGTGTGGATACATTGGACTAATTAGACTACTTCTGAATCCTCAAAATTGGTTACGTAGTATAGAAAGACACTTAGGTTCCTGGTGTATACAGTATGTGCACAGATTGTTATGAAAAGTCAATGAATAGGAAGCAAGCAAAATCATTATTGGTAGTTTGTATGCCATTGTATGTGTTTTGTTATCACCAGATACTACATTTTATGAATGCACTACATTTTATAATACTCTGAATTGTAAGTAGTGTTTAGGAAATAGATGGATTTATTTATAAGCATTTGAACAACAAAATGGATTTATTTATGTTTTTCTAGCTAACTTCCTCTGTATTGTGTTCCACTATCTGTTTCATTATGTAGAAGTCTTATAGCCTCATTAAACAGGAATATTGTTTATGTTGTAAATTGTGTTCAGAACAAGATTAAATAAATTTTATTTAGAAAAAGAAAAACAATGGGTGTTAACCTGAGTAACAGTTAACACCCATGTAGTATAACTGTAGTATAACACCCAAGTAATATTTATAAGACAAAAATACCTGTGTAAAGACTTTATTTCCTTGTTCTTTTATTATCTCTTTTTCCCTAAATTACAGGATGTGTTGTTCAGAACAGTCATGAGAGTTATAGGCAGATATTAGGTATTAAGCTGTAGAACTAGTGATTAGGTAGAACACAAACTGAAAAGGTGAGATTTTTGCTGGCTTATTCTATACTTGACCTGAATGACTTGAATGACTAAACAGGTGTTTTCACCTGGCACAGAATGAGGCATGGAGTTCTTCTCTTCCTAGGCTTTGCTACGGATAGCTGCTGCCTCACTCCAATCCCTCTCTGTCTGAATAAAAAACAAACATCACTTGGTGGACTTTATATCCCCTTGGAAACTGAAACCTATCCAGATACTGTTTACACACAAGCCAGGTGTTCCTGCAGTAGCAGGAAATGGAGCCAACTCAATATACAGAACTACTGCAATTTGAAAAACACTGAATACAGCCAGTTGCACACTTTGGTGTAGAGGGATAGCAATTGATATCTTAATTTTAAGTTTGACAACTGCAAATGTAGTACATCTACAATACTTACTTTTTTAAGAATACTACAGTAATAGTACTAAGATTCATTCCCTATGACTTAATGCCAACTCTTCACTCCCAGAGTACTGATTCAGCAGAATCCAATGATTGATTTGAAAGTTTACATTCTTTTAAGGAATGCTGCTGTGATACACACTACAGTACTTGCAATTTCAGCAGACTGGTTCACATGCCAAAACAAATATAGTAAACTTGGATGAGCTCAGATAATGGACCTATTTACAAGTCAAGCAGTGTGGCTATTTAAGCCCTTTGAGCATATTTTCATGACACTTTACTTTAATTATAAAGCTTCTAACATTTATTTAGAAACCTTCTTAATTGTACTCTATTCTATAGAATATGTGAATGCACCACTCTCTTCAGTTAAAAATAAAATTAGTCCTTGAATTTCTTATACCTTATTATTACAAAGCATAGTTAGAGTTTTTATTTATAATTCTATATCCAGAATATTTCCATTTGAGAATAGAAATGGTTATAAAACCTCTTTACCTGAAAAGCCAGTTCATGTTCAGGGTTAATTTAGCTGGGAGTTTCATGATGCCATTAAAGTGCCTATCACAGATCTGTCTCCTGAGCATTCTCAGTAAAGTATAATCTTTCCAAAAACACAATTATATTCCCTAATTGTAAATTAAATGGGATAAATGTTAGTGTTGTTATAACTGCCAGACTGCATTTTGATCAACGTACAGTAGCTTTTTTGTTAAGAGGTGTTATTTAGGCAAAATAAGCTATTTAGTAAATCATCGCTTTTATTGAAACTACAGTTTTTGTTCTCTCATTTTTTTCAATCTTTTTAAAATGCAGAGATTACATTCAAAGTGATGTGCACTTAAGCTTGGATTTACTTTAGAACTCATCATGCATTATTTACTGTATGTCTGTGATTCACTTTCATGAATCACAAATATCAGAATAATCACTATTAACTTGTGCAGTCTGCAATACAGAAAAACTTTAAAAAACAATGACATGCCCTCAGCCAGTTTGTAATGTTCTGTTTAATGAGACTGTCACTAGTTAAAAGTATTATTATTAAACAGAGACTGTGGTAATTGGGGAACATAATAAGTCATATCAGGAAAACTGCTGATAAAAGAGCTTGATGGTATTAATGTCAGTCTTTTGTATATCATGAATGCAAAAGATTATGTTTGCAGAGAAATACACATGTTTTTCTGTATGGTCAAAGTCAGCTCTAAAGAAGATCCTGGTTTTAATCATAAATAATTTTGCATGTGAACAATTCTTAAATTAATGCAATCAGTATGGTAATTCCATTCATACATTCGCATTAAAATGGTAAGATAATTCTTCCACTACTGAGAATTCTTCATCACTCTTCAAATCATCAAAAAAAAATCTCTGCAAGCATTGCCAGTTTTCTGTGTTTTTGGTGATTCTGTGAAGTGCCTTGAAAGAATGCGTTGTTATTGTTCAGTTGAACAGAGTCATGAAAATCAAGTACAGGAGATAATGTGTGCATCTGACCATTAAACACATACAGTGTGACCTCGTGTTATGGGGCAGGACAGCTTCACTAAAAACAGATATTAGCCATTAGATTTTTGTGATGAGGTGGTTGCACATCCTACATACTGTATCTTGATAAATACCCTTTTACATTCTTTAAAGCTTTCTATATGTTAACCTCTAACAAATGATGTCCAGCAAGATAGTGTCCCTGCACTTACAATACCCTCCAGATTTATTCATACCCCTGATGAAATGGGGAACGACTTATGGATTACTACAAATTCAAAATCGGGGAGGCACAGCGGCATAGTGGTTAGCATTGCCGCTCTGTCTTTGTTAATCAAAGAATATCACAAAAGATCTACCTACTTGCATATGCCATCTTCTGGGTCCTCGAGCCCAAATCTTTCATCAAATGTTAGCTGTATCTGCATGTTTTCATCTGCTGCAACTAGTCTCCAGACTAGCACTTTATTCCGAGGATAGGTATGGGGAAATTCCGGACTGTGCACAACTCCATCTCCTGTAACTGTAATGACTTTCTCATGCTGAGAATTTTGTACTCCTTTAAAAAAATAAAAAAGGAACATTTAGTTACCACTCAACAAGGACATACTAGTGACAATTTCAGCAGATAAATCAGATCCTAATAAAAGCAAGAGAGATGAGATATGCAGAGCATATTTGGCGTAGCCTGTCTGAGGGAATCGCCAGTCTTGCCAGATGTGGCGAGGCTGCCCAGATCCTTCCCCGTATTGCAAGGATTGAGCCAGGGAGGTGCTTCATGGGTGTAAATGGGGTTTTGGGAAGGGTACAAGAGAGACGTGCTAAAGGAAGTCCCAGGCTAATGCATGCAAGTGGAAGTGTGCAAGATTAGGATACAGATTTCCTTCTGAATTTCACATCATAGCCAACAATTTCATTTGTCTGAAAACACTGAATTACACCACAATCTTCTGAGTTCAACACAGAGTTCACTGAAGCACATTTTCTTAAAAAAACTTCAGATCCTCATGAATGCGACAGAGAGGTGAAACATGTAGAGCATTTTGCATGACTCACTTACAATAGGTGAGGGAATGGCAGTCATGCAGATAGGCTGCTCACACACCCACTCACTATTGTGAGGACTGAGCTAAGGAGTCTATTGCAACGTTGTACAGTAGATGGGGAGGTGGGGAGGGAATGCAAATGCGATTTGCAAAATGTAAGACCTGGGTGCAAGAATTATATATAGTACATACAATAGGTGAAAGGAAGTGAGCAAAATAAGGACCTAATGTTCCTGCTAAACCTTTGTTACAAACTCCAGAAAATACAGCTAACAATATAATTTTAAAATAAAGTAGTTCACTTTAGGGAAAAAAATGAAAAAGAAAACATGTCTAAGCCTTTGCATTAGGGATTAGCCACCAAACATGGGTAACCCTCAGAATATGTAAAGACCTCTTCCAGCTAAAAAGGAGGGCTGCCTTTTGGACCATGTTTTCCATACTGCACCTGTTCTCTACTTGCTTGTTTCAGTTTGATTGAGGTTGTTTTTCCATCGTGGTTCAACCATGCATTCATGTTTTTTTCTTTCTCTACATAATTTGTAATTCATCTGATCTTTCCCTTCTACTTTGGTATGCTAGAACGCAGAAAGGATTGAAGGAAGAAGGGATAAAAAGCATAGGAGAGGAAAAGATATAGAGTCCTTTGTTCTACTATGCTTATTTCCCTGCTACCTTCCTCTATTTCCATCATACCTGAAGAAGGCTTATACAGGAAAAAGGTTGTTTTTGTTTTTCAGCATGGAATTAACCTTTACTTGTTCCATTTTGTAGCAAATGCACACTGACACAGCTCCCCAAGAAGAAAAAGGTAAGAGCATTATTGGATTGTTTCCAATACTAACATACACTGCACAGTCTTTGATATATGTAATACATTTACATTTACAAATTAAGTTATACACAGTATTAGACAATATGTTTTGCAATTGAAAGCATATTGATTTTTAATAAAGAGAGCTTCAGGCCCTCATGTGCTAATGTTATACCTGAATATGAAAGCATTTTGAAGCAAAGCCTTTTCTTTGTCATGTTCCACTGTATTATTATGCAAAGTGGCTAGCTGGAACAGAAAAACTCATACATATTTGATCTTACAACATTTTATAGAGTTATAATTATACTTCTACAGCGGCTTCTGTTGTTACAACAGCTATAGTATTTATTAAGACTACTGCTGCTAGTGCTCTGAAAATGGTACTGTTTCCTATACACTTGGTGCTTGACAATAATTCACTGTTGTTGCATTAGATAACAGTTTAGCCATTTTTAAAAAACTTTTTTCAACAACCTTTTATGATATATGAGGACATTATTAATGATGTAAACTGACTATATCATTGGTGGTACATCATTGCTTTCCCCTTAAAATAAGTTAATGCAAAATATTTGCTGCATATACTGTATTAGTTTCAGAAAAAACCCTGTCACACATGTTTACAAGATCTTCACACTAAAGTCATAGACAGGTTTTAAAGCACACATGTAAATCAAATCAAAACAGGATCTTAAGGAACGGAAAATCTTGAGGAAATATTTTACAACTGCCAGTCCTTCTTGAGGTGAAGACAGAAAAAGATTAATTCATATTCTTGGCACATAATAATAACAGGTTAACACAGGTTAACCATTAAGTTTAATGGTCAAAATATGTGGTATACTGCATGAACATCAATGAAACTGTCAGACATATAAAAGAAAATGAATAGACATAATCGTGTAATAAAAAGCAAGTTAGATGGTGGAATCAAACAATATGAAATTGGAGCTTCTGAATTACCATACAAAACAAATATCTTAGAGATACTGATATATTGTAACTATTACAGTTTCAGAAACTTTGAATTCTAATCATGTTTTCTTGTTATGAGTTATTGCAATGGTTTTTGCAGGTGGTTCAAGTTAATGTTTAATAGAAGTAAAATTATGAGAGATATAGAATAATTAACTCATTATCTATACATTTAAGTACAATATATGCTATACTGTTCAGTAAACGTTTCTATGTTAAAAAAGAAAAAAAAATGAAACACTGATATAGATTCAAACTGTAAATTATACGCACAAGAAAACTTGAAAAGTGACTGAATACCTTGAACTGCATAAAACAGAATCATCTGTTCATCAGAATGAGATGAAACCAGGTGAGTTTAAGACATCAATTTCTGTCCAAGTCTTCTGTTTTTGGAAATCTGAGGGTATAGTAAATCCCTCTTTTAATGTGAATAATCTTCGGACACTTCTATGGATTGAATTTTGATGTATGTAGCAAGAGCTCTGGATATTAAAGTCATTTTAGCCTGATACAAGAGTTTTTATTGCTAAGCATTATTGATGAAAATCATCCCAATCTAATTTATATATATTTATATAAAAATAGGTAAAACTACAGCATATTGGTATCTTAGATTCCTTACTGTTTGGTGTGTTCTGTGCCACAAAGTGAGATATATTAATGCTTTTGTTTTAGTTTCTACTTATTGGTTAATATTAATTTTGGTATTGGTGGCATATTATGTCTAACACTCTATATACAGTGTGACTTAACAGATGTCTGGGGACAGGTCAAATTGTAATCTTGCACTTTCACTCTCCTACAAGTAAATACTCACTGGCTCCCACCACTCAGCACATATCTTTTCTATCTCCCCTCACTCCAAGCAACTGAACTCTTGCAGCAGCTTCCTGCTTTGCTGACCCGGCCAGCACTACATAATTAAGTGAGTTAACGCAAAACTGTCAAGAACACAACTCCTTTACTATATCTGTTGGCTCGTTTCATCATTATTACAATTTGACTGAACTACTGGAATAATATGCCTAAGTGTATACCATATACTGTACTACAAATGAGGTAAGATTAAAAAAGCACTTCCCTGTACAAGACTATTCTTATACAGTAAGAATACTGTATGTTATACAGTATACAGTATAACACGTTAATGAACATTTGTGCAGTAATAACTGTTAGTTATGTCATTAAACCACACAGCCTGAGTAGGGACCTTTAATGTCCTTGGGTTATATAAAAAGCCATGCTTTTATAGTTTTAGTCAAGAATCTTTGGATGTTTTTTCATGATGGAGCCTGTAATTCCATAGAGCATTTTATAGCATTGTATTTGATCAGTTCTCCTCACTGTTTTGTTTTCTACTGTACTTTCTGGTAAAATTGGAATGTTTAAAAAACCACATACACACAGTTTTCTTTACCACAGAAGCAGCTGCAGTCATCACAACAGTATGTTTTTAATTACCTCTGAATTATACTAATGAAATAACATTGCTTATAAAAAACATAATGATTAATGTACATTTAAATTTAAGACATATAACAGTCTAATCCATGTGGTATGAAGAATACACATGGTTGTTAATACAGTGCAGGCCTCTGCTTACACTCTAGTTCAATTATGAATGAAAATGCTGGAATACATTCTTAACTCTGGCATCCAGAAAAAAACTGTGCTAAGTACTTAATTTAAATCATGTTCACCCAAAATTAAAGTTTCAATATTTTAGTCATTTTATGAGGAACACAAATTAACAGAATGCTAAGGCCTCGATTAGTTAGGCAAATTTTCAGACAAAAACCTATCAATTTATTATGTTCCAAAAAATCCTAATGCTTTTCAGGTTTATAGCGAAACTTGCGTTGGAAGCACACAGATCTCCATCTACAAAATTATTGATAAAAAGGAAAGGAAGGTCTGCAATATGGTTTTGGTTAGCAATTTGATGTTGAACTAATTTTATTTGCATTAACATATTTTTGGATTGATAAAAAACTGGAAGACACCCCAGTCTGTATTTTTGGAGGATGGAATAAATACGCTTATCAATTTCAGGTACGGTGCTAGATAAGGACTGACACATGAGGTCAGAAAAACAACCCAAAGGATTGTTTTTTTTCTATCCTTCCCAGATAGTTTCCAACATATATTTGAGGTGCTAGGGTATTTCCTGCTGTTAGGATGTTTTTGTGTGATGTGCAGACTCAAAGAATGACACCACTTTCCTGGCAAATCAATGTTAATGTTAAAAACAGAATTTGGTCATCAGGGTTAATTACATTAAACATGACTTTTCCTTGACCTCATTTTCTAGTTTTTCATCAGAGATTAAGAGTGAACTGGGTTACAGTAAAAGTACAGTACTGCTATTGTATTTTCTTACAGATTAGTGAGAGTACCCCTCAAACCACGTAACTAATTTCAATCGCTAACTTTTTACATACAAAGATGTACTGTAAGTGTGTCTTATTTTACTGCATATTGTGTCAGGAATTTAATTCAATGGCAAATCCAGCATAAAATTATCATTTTCTCCATGAGGACACAAACAATCCATAAAAAACATGAACATGATTGTATAATTTTATACAGTATGTGAAATTGGGAATAATCACATTAACAGAACAATGTTAAGTACCACCAAGTAGCAAAATATGTTTAGTGTTTAATCAAAGTTTTAGTTTCTTTAGTTTCTGTATGTTTCTTTAGTTTCTGTATGTG